TGCCATGAAGGGAAAGAATATAAGGCTTAGTGAGAGACTAACAGAAGAGACTTAGTTGAGATAGAGAAGTCAGAAAGGCCTGAGAGTCATAGTGAAATCTAATAAAAGAAAAAAAGTAAGCTAACCAGGCCCAAAGAGAGTACAAAGGTCCAAAGTTGAAAATTAAAAAAAAAAAAAATTAATAAACAAGAAAGTAAGGACTTCTTCTTCCAGAAAGATTAAGAAGTACTTTTCACTGTTCCTCCTGCTAAGCATAACTAAAAGTACTGTATGTAATATCTCCCCTGTTGCCATCAAGTACATTCTGACTCTTAGTGACCCTATAGGACACAGTAGAACTGCCCCATAGGGTTTCTATGGAGTGGCTGCTGGCCTTTTGGTTAGCATCCAAATGCTTAACCACCGTGCCACCGGGGCCCCAATATGTAATATACATACCTATATATTATGTACACATATATAATGGATATACATGATATATACATATAAATAATATAAAATTTATAATATATAAATGGACATTATATATAAAATAAGCATAAGAAGACTCTGGAAGGTGGAGAAAAGAAAGCAGGCCAGGTAGGAACCTTGAGACTCAGAGAACAACATGACACTGAATTTCCTGGGTTTTCTTTTTGCCTCATATATCCTAGATAGGGTGCTGGAGAAGCAGGCAGCCCAGAAATGCCAATGGGCACATAACACAGACAAAAACGCCCCAAGAAAAGCCTTCCTTCTCCAGCCAAAGGACCAGGAAAGGAGTAGTCTAGACAGACAGAAACAAACCTTTTAGACAATAACTGCTTTACTCCAGCCTAACACCACAGAAAAAACTGCAGCCCTATACCCACTGATGCCGGCAAATGCCTACAGAAGAGCCTAGACTTACACCCTTGCCAGGTTTTAACAAGGCACCTCAACACACCCACCAAAGTGTGTCAGAGAAGGCTTATTAGGGAGACTGAACTTCCATCCTTGCTGGGTGGTAATAACCCCCCTGCAATCTTATCAGTGGCGATCATGTACGGAGCCTGGACTTCCACCCCTACCCAACAGTAGTGAAGCATCCCTCCCTCCCTCTTCCTGCTGGATGGGTATCAGAGGAGGCCTACTAGACAGTCAGGACCTTCAACACCATCTAGCAGTAGGGAGGCCAGGCCCCTGACACAATGTCAGTGGAGGTCACACTGGGAGCAGAAACAAAGCACTCCTGTGCACCCTACACCCCCGAGCTAGTGTGGTATCACTGGAAGCCTAGTGGGAACCTGGAACTTCCACCACACCCAGCAGTAACAAAGAGCCTCTCCTTCCCCATGTCAATGGAGGTTGAGTGAGGAACCTGGACTTGCACCGCCAAATGGCAGTAACAAGGCAGCAACCTCCCCCCACCCCACCCCACACCCGCCCACACAGTGCCACAGTGGTGTCAGAGGAGACCAGCTAAAAAAAACAGAAAACTTAAGTAAGATTCAGAGTCTCATAATACCCAACATGTTCAAGTTTACGGTGAAAATCACTCATCACGTGAAGAACCAGGAAAATCTCATCTTGAATGAGAAAAGACCATCAAGACAACAGCACTGAGATGAATCAGATGTTGGAGTTGTCTGTCAAGGATTTTAAAGCAGCCATCACAAAAATGCTTCACTAGTTAATTACAAATTTTCCTGGAATAAATGGAAAAATACAAAATCCCAGCAAAGAAACAGAAATTATAAAAAAGAACCAAACGGAAATTATAGAACTAAAAAATGCAACAAAAGAAATGAAAAGCTTGGGTGAATGGGTCAGGCCGAGTGGAGACGACGTCAGGTAAAATCAGTGAACTTGAAGATGCATTAACAGAATTGACCCAATCTGAACAACAGAAAGAAAACAGACTGAAAAAATTAAACAGATTCTCAGGGACATGTGGGACAATAATAAAAGATCCAACATTCATATCATCAGAATCCCAGAGGAAAGGGGAAAGAAAGTGGGGCAGAAAAAGTATTTGAAGAAATAATGGCTGAAAATCCCCAAATTTGGTAAGATACATCAAATTTGATCTGAGACGATATTAGAAGCTGAGCACCCCTCAAACAAGATAAACCCAAAGAAACTCACACGAAGACCCATCACAACTAAACTTTTTAAAACTAAAGACAAAGAAAAGAAATCTTGAAAGCAATCAAAGAAAAATAACACATTACTCCTAGAGGAACGCTAGTTCAAATGACAGCAGATTCCTCATCTGAAACCATGGAGGCCAAACGGAAGTGGCACAATATTTTTCAAGTGCTGAAAGAAAAGAACTGTCAACCACAAATTCTATATCCAGTGAAACTACCCTTCAGGAATGAAGGAGGGAAAAAAAAAACGTTTTCAGATGAAGAAACACTAAGAGAATTTGTCACTATCAGGCCTACCCTTAAAGACTGGCTAAAGTAAGTTCTTCAAACAGAAAGGAAATTATAGAAGAAAAGGTCACGTACCATATGATTCCATTTATATAATCCTATTCTCAAAATGACAAAATCATACAGATGGAGGCTAGATTAGTGGTTTCCAGGAGTTAGGGATGTTGGGGGAGAAGGAGGCAGTGATTATAAAGGGGTACTTCAAGGGAGATCATTGTGATGATGGAGATTTATCTTGATTGCAATGGTAGTTACATGAATCTATATGTGCCATAAAATGACAACCAATGACAATATCTTGGTTTTGATATTGCACTACAGTTACATAAGATGTAACCATTGGGGGAAACTGGATGGAAGGGGAAAGAAACCTCAGTACAATCTTTGCAACTTCCTGTGAATTATAATTATTTCAAAATAAACAGTGAAAAGAATAAAATAAAGTGAAGATTAAAGTCACAATTATAGGCTAGCGATTTAAATTTTCTGTAGGTAACCAAAGGTTTTTCTCATACTTGTTTTAATATTGACTTACTTCTGTTGTATACTAAGGGACCAGTTTAGATAATGACAGTAACGCAGTTGCTTTAACACTATGTAAAGAGGCAAAATCAACTTAAGAGGAAGCATAATGGTTAGAACCCAAAGGGCAACAACAAAGTGCCCCCAGGTCCTGCAGATTAATCAAATTTATGCGAATTAGATTAGCAAAATCAGTCTGCAACACGAGATCAGCCACGAGCAGACTAGTCCTGTGGGTCAGTAAATCTCCTAAATCAATCAGGAAGAATCAGGCCCTGGAGATCTGATTACGGTATCACCAAATACAAAAGAAAGCAGTAGCCTAATCGATGGTAATAACAGACAAGAAGACAGACTGAGCCAGCCAAAAATCTAAAGAAAGTGATGGCAAAATCGAGAAGTGCCCAGTACCAACCTCATCCAGCATTGCTCAGAAACTGAACTATCACCAGGATCTGGCTCATGACAGAGCTCTGCTCTGTTGGGGGCAAGGATAGTTTTCAGGTTTTTCCACATCTTTGAAGACTATTAAACTCCCCTTGCTCTAGTTCTAAATTTACCAAGAAATCTTCTGGTTACCAGTTCAACTTTTACACAGACTATTACAGTCATTGAAAAGTATATCCATATTGTAAATTGGAGCCCTGGTGGTGCAGTGGTTAACAGCCTGGCTGCTAACCGAAAGGTCAGCAGTTTAAATTCACCAGCCACTCCTTGGAAACGCTATGGGGCAGCCCTACTGGGTCCTATAGGGTCGCTATGAGTCGGAATCGACTCCATGGCAACGGGTTTGGTTTTGTTGCCGTTGTTTTTTTTTTTTGGTATTGTAAATTAACTAACTGGCATTCTGGTCAGTCCCTTGTGAGTTTCATTAGTTTTAAGTTCAAATCAATCCCAAAAGCCTAATTTACTCTGAATGTGCTGGCAAAGACAAGTTCCTCAATCTGCAAAGTTAAGGGCCAGATCCTAAATTAAGAAGGCACACAGTGAGCCCAGCCAGCCGGCTTCCCTTTACCCAGGGCACCTCTGTCTTGTTCTCTCACTTCCACAGGTAGTAAGTTAGCCTTGCAAACAGCTCTCCAAAATCCTATTCGACTCACAAAATTGAGAACAGATCTACTTTTATCTGTCAGGGCCATTCTCTTTCTCCTCCTATCCACTGCCTTCTAAAATCATTCTCCAAAACACATATTCTACATTCATCATTTACCATGAATGCAAATTCCTATCAAACACGCTAATGGAGCAAAAAAGAGCAAAGCAGAATATATTACTTTAGCGAATACTGGAATTGCACAAGTCACGATTTCCTTTTTTCTGATGAGCCCTGCGTCCTGAGACCCTGGGTATATCAATCACCACCCTATTTAAATAATCCTGCTAAATTCTATTTTAATAAATTTTTACTTTAACTGTTGTATTTTTAAAATATCTAAAAATAAAAGGTCACAATATCCCCGACAATTAAAATCATTAGCAACAAAATATTCCTGCAAATTCTTCTAACAGTCGGTGCTTAATCTTCAAGAGGTTACAGTAATGCATATTCAGAAACATGACAAACAAAATGAAAACCTAGAAAGTACCCAGACAGACTACTTATACCGTGTATGTGACATTCCGTCTTCCTACATGTTACATTTTGGAACACTAAGAGTGCTTCACAATGAATTCCACACCTGTTGCAAATGAGACTAAAACCATTATCAAAAGGTATTTCTTAGGGTTTATTTGCTTAAGAAAGTAGAAGTGACATTTCCCTAACATAGACTAAAAAAATATACTAAATCTACAGAATTCTATTTCAAACAGGATTTATCTATTCAACACTGGACAGGATTGCCCACTGGATGAATAGTCACATCCTTGTTTACATCATGGTGACTGGTTTTCATACCTGGGCAATCAATAACCAGGAATACACAGCCTCAGTCCTCCTGTCTGAACTGCTCTGATTTCTTACAAGTAAATGCAAGTTGCCAAATCGCCAGTCATCAATCGCCAAGGACATCACTGCTTTAGAATAACAAAGGTATCTGATGCGGAAACTATTTAAAATAGGTTTAAATTTTCACTTACCTCTACTGCTACAACAATCAAAATTAGGTCCGCTTTTGAGTCTGGAAAGAGTGCATTCACTTGTGGTGACATTCCAATCAGTGCACAGTTAGTGACCACAGATATAACACTCATTGTTTCAAAAGCCAACTAAGAGAAAACAGAGGGGGAAAAAAGATGTGAAAATAACAAACTGCAATGACTGCTTCCATATCTCCTCTTCCTTGTTTCTTATGATCTAAAATCAAACAAGGATGGCAAGGAAAGTCTTTCCCTAGTTCCAAATATTCCAAGTACATTTTAAACTTTTTCTCTGTCATGCTATGATTTTCTTTAGCTTAAAAAGTCATACCGTTAGAATGTATTTTAGATACCTTCGGATTGAGTATCCCAAAGCAGTGCACTATACTTTCTACTATACTGTTTTTTGAACTGAAATTTTTATTGAGATAACTTTAAATTCACATGTAGTTATAAGAAATAATACAGAGAAATCCCTTTACCAGTGGGGACCTGGTAATACTTTGCAAAACCATAGAAGAATGAGAGTCCTGGGTAGTGCAAATGGTTACTGTGTTCATCCGCTAACTGAAAGGCTGAAGTTCAAGGCCACCGGAGGCACCACAGAAGAAAGGCCTGGCGATCTACGTCTGAAAAATCAGTCACTGAAAACCCTATGGAGCACAGTTCTACTCTGACACGAGTGGGGTCACCATGAGTCAGAGTCGACTCGACAGCAACTAGTTTATAATACAATACCACAAAAGGATACCGACATTGATACAATCGACTAATCTTACTTAGCTTTCTCTAGCTTACTTGTACTTGTTTGTGGGTGTATTTTTAAGTTCTATACAATTTTATCACGTATGTAGGTTTCAGTTAACAACCACTATAGTCAAAATACTGAAGAGTTCCATCACAAGGGTCCCTCCTGTTTTCCTTGTATAACATACTCTCACCTCCCCTGGGCTCCCTAATCCTTGGCAACCAGTAATCTGATCCGGATTTCTAAAATTTTTTAAAATGTCATATAAATAGAATCATATAGTAGGTAACATTTTGGGATTGGTTGGGCTTTTTACATTCAACGTAATTCCCTAGAGATTCACCCAAATTGGTGATGTTACCAATAGTTTATTCCTTTTCATGAGTAGTATTTATGAGTCTGAGCTCTTTTTGCTGAGTAGCACTTCATGGTATGCACGTACCACAGATTTTGTAACCATTCACCCAGTGAAGGACATCTGCGCTGGTTCCAGTTTTTGGCTATTACAAATAAAGTTGCCGTAAACATTAATGTACTTTGTATGACTCTAACTTTTCATTTCTATGCAATGAATGTCCAGGAGTACAGTTGTGGGATCATATAGTGCTTGCACGTTTAGTTTTATAAGCAACTGCCAAACTGTTTTCTAGAGTGGCTGACTCATTTCACATCCCCACCAGCAGTATGAGTGATCCAATTTCTCTGCCTTCCTGCCAGCTTTAGTGCTGTCACTCTTTATTTCAGTCACTCTGATAGGTGTGTAGTGCTATCTCATTGTGGTTTTAATCTGTATTTCCCTGATGGCTAATGATGTGGAACAGCTTTTCATGTGTTTATTCGCCATCTGTGTTTCTTCTTCAGTGAAATGTCTGCTCATGTCTTTTACCCATTTTCTAATTGGATTGTTTGTTTTTTACTCTTGAGTTTTGAGACATCTTTGTATATTCTACGTACAAGTCCCTTGTCAGATAAATGGTTTGCAAATATTTTCTGCCATTCTGTAGCTTGCTTTTTAATCCTCTTAACATGAGTTTTCATCGAAAAAAAGTTTTTAATTTTGAGGAGGTCCAACTTATTTTTTTCTTTTATGGATCCAGCTTTTGGTGTCAAGTCTAAGAACTCTTTACCCTGCCCTACATCTGGGAGATTTTCTCTCTTTTTTTTTTCCCCTCCCTTTAAAGTTTTATAGTTTCACTTTTTACATTTAAGTTCATAATCCATTTTGAGGCAATTATGGAGCAATTTTTGTATACGATATGAGGCTTGCTTTCCATTTACTTTGTTTAATGTTTTGATTCAAATGCCTATTTTAATTCTTTCATGTGTGTGTATTAGTATTTTAAGCCTACGGATTTTCCTTTGAGCACTTCATTAGCTGTATCCCACAACTTCTGATATATATTATTTCAGTATCATTGTTTTCTAGAAATTCTACAATTTAAAATTTTATTACCTCTTGGACCAAGTCTTCCTTAACATAGTTGTTTATTTATATTTTTATTTCCAGGCAATAGGAGATTGTTGTTTCTGTGTTATTAACTTCTAGTTTTACTGCATTTGATCAGAAAATACAGTGTATACTATTTGTGGATTTTGTGAGGGTTTTCTTGTGGGTTAACATCTGGTCACTTTTAGTTATATTCCATGGGCAACTGAAAAGGTGTATTCTCTTCTTCAGATACAGAATATAAAATTAGGATTCTTTTAAAATTATGTTTTATTTAAAAAAACAAGTAAGTTGCTGTTGAGCTGATTCTGACTCATGGCAACCCCATGCATTGCAGAGCAGAACTGCATTCCATAGGGTTTTCAAGGCTGTGATCTTTCAGAAGCAGATCTCCAGGCCTTTTTTCTGGTGCACCTGTGGGTGGGTTCAAACCACCAACCTTTTGGTTAGTAGTTGAGCGCTTAACTGTTTGCGCCACCCAGGACTCCTACATTTTATTAACATATATCAATTATATATGCCTTTTCTTTAAATGGGGTTTTTCAAGTTCTTACATACTTCCTTTCTTTCACTTTACATAACAATGCTGGGAGCTGATTTGGTCAAGACCAACAGACGGCTTTTCCAGCATAGGGTCTTGTATTGTGGTTCATAAGAGTTAAGTAAGAAATAGTATAAAACTCCCTATACTTATCTTAGAAAATCTCTTCAACTCTCTTCGCCCAATTTCTCTTTTTAACTTGGAGAAAACGAGGTGTGACTGAATGGTGAGGAAGGACTTCGAAGTATTTTCCATTAATCATAGGTAGGGTACCACTGCTAATCAGACAACTCACCTTTGTATATATGCTAGTAAATCATTCATACATGTGAAGGACAGTAAGATAAAACATGGCTGGAGAAATGAAAGTTCTTTAATAAAAGGAGTCAGTGTGGTTAAAGGTGAGGATACAGGTCATATGTTTTCTTAATGTTTTTTTTCTCCAATGTGCATTTTTATATTTATACACAAGTAAAAAAAAACAAAACACAGGGCTGCTTGACAAACAATGGCTGATTCCAAGGCTAGGGAAAGACTGGTTAAAAAATGAGCCTGGAACATCTTGTTATGCCAGAGAATAAGGAAGTACTGTTTTAAACAAACAAAAGATGATGAGGGGGTGTCAAGAGGCACGAGCCGACTTGAAGGAGCTCCCACTAGCCAAATCTGGGATAATTTGAGAACCAAAATAATTAAGAACAGTAATTGTAAACTACTGAAAAATTAGTAATTCATGAGTCCATACCAATGACGAACAGACAAATGGATGGATAGTGGATGGGGAGAAGCAAGGGCTTTTGCTTACAATAGAATGCCAAGCGCCAACTGGTAAATGTGGAGACATGCAAGAGGTGGAAAATCATCATTTTACAGCAATCATAACTAAAGTCTGGATCAGTTAAGGATCATCAGTGGATGCTACATCTCAGAAAAGGTTTTGATGAGGAGCAGGATAATTACATGATCTTTTAGTGCCTACCCCTCTACTGCTTAGTTGCAAGTGTAAAAGTGGTAATTAGATAATGGAGAAAATGGACAACACGTTGACCAGATGACAAAAAATAAACAATGGGGGAAAAAAAAAACCAATGAGGGATGGGTAGACATCTTGTGTCTCTAGATACAATACCCTGAGAAAGACACAAAATCACTTGCCAAAAATGCATAGCCTGAATCTATTCAAGAGGAAACATTAGAAAACCCAAATGAGAAACATTCTGTTACAATAAGGGGGAAAGGGGAACTGTGTTCTTCAAAAATGTCGATGTCATAAAATACTAAGAAAGGCTATAGAAATGTTACAGATTAAACGAGGCTAAAGAGTCATAACAACTAAATACAATTCCTGACCCTAGACATAGGATCTTACACTGCAGGAGGAAAAAAAAAAAAAAAAAAACAACCAAACACTAAAAAAGACATCATTGGACTAACCAACAAAATTGAAATACAGATGGTAGATTAGATTATTCTACTGATTATTCATTATCAATTGATCAAATTACTGAAGTCAAAAACTGTACTGTGGTTGTGTAAAAGAATAACCCTGTTCTTAGAAAATACACACTGAAGAATTTAGGGATAAAGAGCCACGATGAATGTAACAGTCTAAAATGGTTCAGTAAAGAAAGTGTATGTGTGTAGAGAGAAAGAGAAAGAGAGAAGACAGAGACTGAGACAGAGCTAACAAGTAATAAAAAGGGTAAAGTGTTAACAACAGATAAATCTACGTAGAGGGTACTATTCTTATATTTGCAACTTTTCTGTAAGTTGAAAATGATTTCCAAATAAAAAGTTAACAATTTTCTTTAAATGATCATCTGTATGGACCACTCCTTCCTTTTACCTTTCCAGTTTTACGCCACCACTGTTTTCTGATCTGCAGATCCAGAGTCCTACAGTTTTCAGTAAAAAATACTACCCCCTAGAATTAGACCACAGACTTGAATTCAGAGATATTCACTTAATTCATTAAATAGGTCAAATTCAGTAGCAAGTCATGTACATGATTAATACATGCTGTTTTGCCTTTTGATGACTTAAGCTAGGAGTTGGAATTACATATTTGAAAACCGTCTTAGAGATTGTATTTTAACCCTCCTGCCAAATTTTAAAAATGAGAAAAGCGAAACCCAAAAAATTAGCAAGGCCCAGAAAAAGTAAGCTGAGGTCACACATCTGGTGTGTGACAGATGAAGGACTAAAACCCAGTTTTCCCAAATCTCTCATCAAGGCTCCCCCACTTCCCCACTTTGGTAATTAAATCACAATGCCTCATTTTGTTATTATTTTTTTTTAAAAAAAAGAATAATTCCCTTCTCACATAATTACCTGCCATACACCAATATTGGCAGACGGTTCTGAGAATGGACGTTTGAAGACCCTGCACATTTTTAAGGCGTCTGAATTGACTTCGGTGAAGTTATTTAACACAGCGAAGGCAGCCGCTAATGGGTAAACACAGGAGAAAAGGCTCACATAGCCAAACTGCAGGAATAACTCCAAATAATCATCAAAGGTGCCCTGAAAAAGTAAACCACACAAAGAAATCAGGCATTATTTTAATAGCATATAATAAGAACCTTTTGAAATACTATCCAAGGCACTGGCCTCTAACAGTTCAACAAATATCAGAGCTTCTCCCAATTCTTTTTTCTTAAAACAACAAAGAATTTACTTAAATTCAAAGATAAATTTATAATTAAGTCCCTGAAATCAACAATGAAAAATGATATAGCTGCTTATTTCATTGTACCAAATCTATGAATTATTATACTTTTGCTAAGGTAAACTAGAGTAAAGCTAAAGATGTTTGTTACTGAAGTAAACAGAAATGATCCAGCATCACTGTGAAAGATCTTTTATGATGCCCCCCTCACATAATGAGCACCCCAGAATCTCAGTCTCTGACCCTCTGTTAAAAAACTGAACCTCTGTTAAAAAACTGATGGTGGTGACATCAGTGAAAGTGGTGGAGTAAGAACCTTCAAAATTTCACCCCTCCATAATAGCAATGAAAAAAAATGACAAAAGTTGCCCTAATCAACTATTTCAGTCTTCTGGAAATAAAACACAACTTGAAGCAACCCAGGGAGCATTCAGTCAGAAAAAAAAACTGAATCTTGGTAAGAGCAGTGAGCTTTGCCCCCATGCTTGCAGCAATCTTAAAAATAACAACACACATTCCTGGTACCAGAGAGAGTAGAGTAGGACTAAAGATCTTTCAAAGCCTCATCCCAAATAGGAATCATTATTTGTCCTGTTTAGTGGCTTCCTGGAAGACCTCACTGGAAAGGCTTGTCTTTATTCAACCTCACTAGAACTCTCCAAGTACTAAAGGCTTCCACAAGGGAAGACGGGAGCACATTAGTTGAATACATCACAGTTGCCTGAGGTGAAGGATAGCACTTGGAGCAAACAACAGAATAGCCAAGGAGCTTAAAAAGAAAAGCTGAGGAATGAAATGTTGACAGGGGCTTTGAAAAGCTCTGATATATTCCTAGGAAACTAGAAAACCAGGAATATGGGTAGGGTTGTGCATCGGCTCAGGAAAGAACTGAGAAGGCACTAAAACCTCACCTTTGACTGACCTTGAGGTTTTGTGCAAGCAGGAAGTGAAGGTTAAGGAAGAGCTGAAAAGTGCCTGGTGGAGTGTTAAAGGTGTGCCCCAAAATGCACATAGAGCCTCTCTACAAAGAAAGACTTACTGGTTCCAGGCATTTAAGGACATCCTTGTTAGGTTCCAGGCATTTAAGCACATCCCTGTCCAATCTTTAGATGACCACTAAGCTAACTGAGTAGAGACTCCAGTGGCCATACACAACAAAGACACAAACTTCGCAGAATTAGTTCAGAAAAGTCACTAAACAAATAACAACCATAACAAGTAGTAACAACAAGAAATCCCATGGAGGAGGAAATCTGATTTCCAGAGTTGACACGCCATATTACTGGATATGTACAGTTTTCAACAAAAAATTATGAGACAAGCAAAAAAACAAAGTAGACCCATATACAGGAAGAAAAAAAAAAGTCAATCGAAATTCTCCCAAAGAAGCCCAGACACTGAACTTACTAGAAAAAGACTTTAAAAACAGTTATTTTAAATATGTTCAAAGAGCTAAAGAAGACCATGACTAAAGAACCAAAGGAAAGCATGAGAAGGAAGACTCACCAAATTAAGAATATAAAGAGATACAAATTATGAAATAAAAAATTCACTAAAGGGGATCACCATCAGATTTGAGCAGGCGGAAGAAAGACCAACAGAACTTGAAGACAGGTCAATTTAAATTATCGAGTCTGAGGAACAGAAAGAAAAAAGAATGAGTAAAAATGCACAGAACGTCAGAGACTTCTGTGATATCATCAAGCACACCAACACACGCATGATGGAGTTGCAGAAGAGAGGAGAGATAAAAAGGGGTACAAACAATACTGGAAGAAAGAATGGCTCAAAACATCACAAATTTGATGAAAAACATTAGTTTACACATCTAAGAAGTTTAACAAACTTGAGATAAGCTCAAAGTGACCCACTCCTAGACACGTTGTAATCAAGCTGCTGAAAGACAAAGACAATGAGAATTTTAAAGAAGCAAGTAACTCATTACATACAATAGATCCTCAATAAGATTAAAAGGGGATTGCTCATCAGAAACCATGGAGGCCAGAGGCAGTGGGATGACACATTCAAAATGCTAAACGAGAAAAAGAACTATCAACCAAGAATTCTATATACAGCGAAACTATCCTTCCAAAATGAAGGAGAAATTAATACATTCACACACACACACACAAAAAGAGTCTGTTGCTAGCAGACTGCCCCTACAGGAAATATTAAAGGGAATCTTCAGACTGAAATAACAGGACACTACACAGTAACTGAAATCCGCGTGAAATAAAGAGTACTGGTAAAGTTAACGACACAGGTAAACATAAAAGACAGTATAAATGTATTTTTTGTTTGTAACTCTTTTTTTCATTCTGATTTAAAAGACAAATGTATAATGAAATAATTATAAATCTAAGTTGATGGGCACACAGTATATAAAAAATGTAATTTGAGAAAATAACAGCCTGGGGGGGTGTGGGCTATATAGTAGCCAAGGTTTTGTATACTATTGAAATTGAGTTGGGATTAATATGAACTAGGGTGTTAAAAATTAAGATGTTGAAGGTAATTCCAAGGACACTACAAAGAAAGTAATTTAAAAACACATAGTAAAAGAAGTGACAACAGAAATTAAAATAGTACACCAAAAACAAATTTGCTGCCGCCAACTTGATTACGACTCACGGAGGCATCATGTGTTACAGAGTAGAACTGATCCATAGGTTTTCTTGGCTGTAATCTTTACGAAAGCAAATCATCAGCCCTTTCTTCCACAGTGCCACTGGGTGGGTTTGAACTGCCAACCTTTAGGTTAGTAGTTGAGTGTTGTCATGGAGTGAATTGTGTCCCCCCAAAATATCTGTCAACTTGGCTGGGTCATGATTCCCAGTATTGTATGACTGTCTACCATTTTGTAATCTGATGTGATTCCCTTATGTGTTGCAAACTCTATCGCTATGATGTAATAAAATGGATTAGAGGCAATTATACTGATGAGGTCTACAAGATTAGATAGTGTCTTAAGCCAATCTCTTTTGAGATACAAAAGAGAGGAGCCAGCAGAGACACATGGGGACCTCATACCACTAAGAAGGCAGTGCCGGGAGCAGAGCGCATCCTTTGGACCTGAGGTTCCTGCACTGAGAAGCTCCCAGACCAAGGGAAGGCTGATGACAAGGACCTTCCTCCAGAGCCAACAGAGAAAGACTTCTCCTGGAGATGATGCCCTGAATTTGGACTTGTAGCCCTCTGGACTGTGAGAGAATAAACTTCTTTGTTAAAGCCATCCACTTGTGGTATTTCTGTTATAGCAGCACTAGATGACTAAGACAAGTGTAAGCCATTTGCACCACCCAGGGACCTTAAACAGTACACTAGAACACATCTATTTATTTAATACAGAAGAAGGCAGTATTGGAGGAATTGAGGGGAAAAAAGAGTAAGACATATGGAAAACAAATGGCAAAATGTTATACATAAAGCCTACCTTCTCAGTAATGACATTAAATGTCAAACTCTCCAATTAAAAGGAAGAGATTGGCAGAGTGGATAAAGTAACAACAACAACAAATTCATCCAACTACATGCAGTCTGCAAGAGGCACACTTTAGATTCAAAGATACAAATACCTTGAATGTAAAGAATGCAAAAAGATATACATGCAAACAATAACCAAAAGAGAGCTGGAGTGGCTATACCACTATTAGACAAAACAGATTTTAATACAAAAATTGTTACTGAAGACAAAGGACATTTTATAGTGGTAGAAGGATCAATCCACCAAGAAGACATAACAACTATAAATGTATACGCACCTAACAGAGCCCCAAAATACATGCAGGAAAAATGGACAGAACCGAGTGCCTGCTAAATGCCAGGCTCTGTGTCAGAAACAAAGATTCTGTGATAAATAACAAGAGAATTCTACCCTCAGTGATTAAGGAAAAAAAAAAAAATATTACCCAATAGCACAAAAACCCTAAATAAGATATTAGCACACTCAACATAGCAATGTATATGAAAAAATATTGACAGGTAGAGATAATCATTTAAATGCAAGAATGGTGTTTTATTAGGAAATTTATTGATGTAAATGAAACACTAAATACTTAAAGAGATAAACAATATCAACAGAAGCAAAAAAGAAAAAGAAAATTTAACATCCCTTCACAATAAAAACTCTTAGCAAACAAGGAAAAGAGCATTTTTAAACTGATAAAAGGCCATCTACCAAAAACACAGAACAAACGTTAACACCCAACAGTGAGAAGACAAAAATCAGGAAGAAGACAAAGATTCCTGTTATAATCACTTCTATCCAAACTGTACTGAACACATTAGGGAGCCCAGTAGATAATAAAGAGTATAAAAACTAAAGGAAGAAAGAAAAACACCATTTATCAGAGTGGCACTGATAAACTAAGACCTAAGAGAGAAATTAGTACACTCGTTCCTTTACTTCACATCAGAGAGATGGTGCTATATAACAGAAAGAATTGGAAAAGTGAAGTCCAGAATCTCGTTCCTAATTTATTTGCCAAATGATTAATAATATTGAGCTTTAGTCGCCTGTTTTTAACATGGGAAAGCAGTGCCTGCCTTAACCTTCCTTCATAAATGTATTGTCAGATGTAAGGAAGTGCCAGAAGAGGTAATATCTAAGATTCGGGCAGCGTCACGTTATTAGCATACAGCTCTTAAATGAATTAAAGTTGCTTGGAGGAAGGCCATATTGTTTGGATTACCATACACCATTTGTTGAGCTAGGAAAAATGGAGGGCAACAGGTCTAGAAAAGTTTGTCAATTATGTTTTGAGGCACTTTAGGGGATGATGTTATTTGCCTAAACAATTTCAGAGAACAAGACAAGCTTTTGAGCAGACTCTAGTTGATCGTAAGAAGAGAAGTAGGAAAGTAAAGATAACAACATGGAGAATTATTTCAAGAAACTGTGAGGGACAGGCAGGGGACAGGACACAAACAGCATAGGATGTATGGTGTTTGCTTAGTTTAAAATGGGAGAGGTGCTGACAGCTGGGGCAGGAAGCGGGAGCTATAGGAACACCAGGTGATGGCTGATGAAATGAGGCCTCCAAAATAAGTGAGGGATGGAATAAAGAACATGGGGCACAGGGAGGCATCCTGCCCAACATCCAGGCCATGTGGTTGCCCAGGAACCACCACCACAGTCAAACACAGGTAATGTCCACGAGTGAAGAAGTCCAAGGGAGGGTAACCTAAAAATCTGGAAAAAGCCATTGAAAACCAAAGTCTCTTTTTAAAGCCATCTGAAGTTTCTCAGTAGAAGCTGTGGGCAACTACCAATGAGCTTCTTTGGTTTAGTTCTTAAAGGCTACCCCCTCCTACCTTTGTGACCTATTGTTGTTTACAATGGGGAAAACAAGATGTAGAAATACATTTATTGGCATGGAAATATAAAAATTATTGGTTGTGCTTAAAATAACACGTAAGTTACAAAACTGAAAGTATTTTTGTAAAATGTAAAAATATAGTATGTATGCCAAAATGCAAGGAGTTTGCAAAGCTCTAAAACAAAATATCAGCAATATGGGTGGCATGAATGAGGGTGATTTTCATTTTCTTTATGCATATTTATCTAATTTTTTTGTTTATGCTTCCATAAGTTTTCTATAAAACCCACTGCCATTGAGTAGATTCTGACTCACAGTGACCCTATAGGACAGAGTAAAAGTACTCCATAGCGTTTCCAAGGAACAGCTGGTGGATTCAAACTGCCGACCTTTTGGTTAGCAGCTGAGCTCTTAACCACTGCACCACCAGGGCTCCTAAGTTTTCTATAGTGAGTATACATCGATGGAATAATTTTTTAAATGTCTAAAAATTCAAATTGGAAACCCTAACGAACTGAAAGACTGGGCTGGAAGAAGCAGAACAGGTGCGTGTCACAAGCAGTGGGGAGAGGACCAGGGTATGCAGCTCTGCCAGAGGCTGCTTTTATTTCTTGTCTACCCTGGTGCAATATAACCACAAGTGGACTTAGCTTGATGTGACAGAGAGAATCAGAAGCTAGGATTGCCACAAAGGAGGGAAAAGACAATAGGATTCCCTCTGACCCCATTTTACGGTCATGTTTCAACAAGGTACAAAAATGAGAAGACTTAAGGAACTCGGAAAGGCCGTTCTGCTGGAAGACACTCGCATCTTTGGTTCTCATGCCGTATCTGTGGCAAGTAGAATTCAAAGATGGGCCCCACAAGTCCCACCCTGGTGTACACGCCCTGTTCATGTAAGTGAGTGGGGGCAAAAACCTGTGGGCTTGGAAGAGTTTTCTCGATATTTTGTGTATAAACACAAATAATGTTGCTGGCCAAGATGTTCTGTAAGTTAATACTTTGAATCATCTTCTCCCCTAAACACTGACAGAAAATGTTAGTGCACATATGTACATTTTAATCAAAAGACATACCACCACTCAAAAACAAGAAAAATAAACGGAACAAAATGCAAGACGGTAAGCAGGTGCACAGCCAGGCTCTACGTCCACAGGGTGGCAGATGTAACCGGCATTTATATCATGTGGGCAGGGGAAGCAAAAGCACCCCACTCTCTCGAAGTATAAATAGAACCAAGATTACTGAGCAAAACCAGGGGCTGCAACAGTGGTCCCCTACCCTTGAAAGGTGGCTGTAATGAAGCCACAACTGCTTCCCAGGAACTACTGCTTTGTCAACAGCATTCCACCTACTGGCACTGTGACTGCATGTGCAAATCCTCCAACATCACCACAAGATGAGAGCTCTGGGCTACAGAGACCTGGTTCTGGACTAGGGACTTGGAGGCCCAGTGTGGGCAACTGCGAAAAGTAAGGCAGGGAGAAATGGGCAGAGAGAGAGTACTCCTACTCCAGATAAACATGCAATTTTAACTTGTTAAGCATATGAGAAAAACTAACTATGAAAGTCAACCAGAAAACTCAGTAAGTAGGACATGAATTCATTCAAGATGTAAAACAAGACTACAAGGGTTTAACAATCATGTACCCTCAATGAATGAACCACTGCAGGATATATTCTACTAAGAAGAATAATATACCAAGAAGGAAGGATGTAAGAAACAATGCTCTGAAGCAAATGTGACCCTAAAGCATACCCCAAAACAGAGAAATAGTGAACGTAGTTGGAGCTCAATAAAAGTGTGTTGGAGACATGATTAGATTTTATGAGCTAGATTTTTCAAATATTACAAGTGGCCAAGCCTCTAATGGTCTCTTTGCAGTTCCTAAAAATAACTGTTTATTTGTCTTTATTTGTCTTAAAGGAACTGTTTCATATTTACAACAGCACTAAGTCGTTTAAGCTAGAAATTAATCTTCAGATTGGCATTCCATTTTATAGCGATGGCCCTCAATCCACTGCTTGAGTAACTTGTCTTATATGACTTTGAATTGTGACGAGTGAGCAATGCTGCTGCCTCTCCATGGCCCCATCTCTCCCTTGCTTTGTCATTTCTTGAGCAACTACTCTCACTACCCTTTCTGCAGAGTGGGCACATAATTCACCAAGCTCGCCGCATGGGGTTGTTAGGCATAACTTCAGACTCAAGACAGCAGTATTTCAATGCACGATTCCATCTTTTTAATTTTAAAATAACTCATGATAAGAAGACTGGCTGGAAAGCACTGATAAGATAGTTGTGTCTAAGATAATGAGTGTACAATGCGCTCATTAGTCATGACTGTTACTGAATTTCAGTAAATGTTTAATCCACCAATAGTCAAACTTACCAAATAGGTCCCCATTTCTTTTTCCAGGATGACTTGCTCATATAATGTAGCATCAATGTCTGCCTTTAAAGCCTGCAGCTTCCTCTTCACCTGTACACCATGCTTCTTTTGAAGCCAATAAGGAAGAAAAGATTCTACAATTTGGTTAAGGATCTGCGAAGTAATCAGGAGAGTGGCCAAGCTCTAAAGAAAAGTATATAAATAATATTTAGCAATGTGGCTTAATAAAAACCATAGATAGCATGCATATAATTATGCAATGAACAGAATGAAATCTTAACAAACAGCATACTATACTAATAATGGAAAAGCTAGGTATCAGAATGGTGTTTAAGGTTACACCAAACACCCACTGACACACAAACACAAACAGTTCAATTAATGAATACATTTTTGCTATTAGATTTGTTTTTACAAGCCTTGAGATGAACTATATAATTGACTTTATTGCCCTACATGATTAATGTTGCAGGATGACTAGCTTCAATTAATTTCTTATCATTTGAGTGAGACGCACTGTGCAGTTGCTAATGTTTTTGTTTTTTTAGAATTTGTCCTAGAAGTAGACAAGATATAAAATACTTTATTTGGAAAAATAATATGAAGACAATTATATTACCTGAGTATGGGAAACCACCTCTAAAACCTAAAAAACTGATACTTTCCTATTATTCACACTCACCTGACGCAAAAGCTTCATATCCCTCAGGACAAAGGCAATGTAGAAGAGTGAGGCGAAACAATTGAGAAAGTTGAACTGCCAAAAAAAGATAACAATATTTAATATTGCCTATTTAGTATTTTATTACAAATATAAATATAGAATTTAAACATCTGATGAGGGACTTCTACATGGTGTAGACTGATTTTTCCCTGTTCCCTCCACTAAGTGCAACTATAACCTCTGAAATAACACAAGAGACAACTAAAGGAGAAGACTCAAAGGTGGTAAGAGGAAAGCAAACTGGTTTGGGACCCCAGGAATGAAGAAACAACACAGCACCAGGGCATCTTATTGTCTCCCCCACCCAAGAGAAGGAGACCAAGGCCCAGCGCTTCCCAGTCCTCAACCTAGCAACCCAGGTAGCCCGGGTAGGCTCATTCCTCCCCCAGATCAAACATGAGTCCCACGAACACCACCAGGCAAGCCCAGAAGAACCAGCAAGGGGGGTCGATTGGGAGCCCCACCAACAATAAGCAACCAAGAGAAGTGCTCTCCTTCCCCTCCAGGCCTTCTAATCCCCTGTCCCATCAGGAAATACCAAAATAGTCAGGCAGGACTGGCAAGAAGGACCCTGCCAAAATAAGCAGCTCAGCCCAGGAAACCTCTTTGTGCCCACAGACCTGCAGCTCCCCTCCCCATCAAGAGTCAGTGGGACAGCTGGATGGCACTGGCAAGTGGGGCCCACCACAACAAAGGGCTCAATCCAAGAACCTTCTTTGTACTCATGGGTCTGAGACACCCTCCCTTAATGAGAGACACCAGGGCAGCTAAGTGGCACTAGCAAGAGAGGCGCAGCCATAACCAATTGGCTCAGCCTGGGAACATCTTTGCCACCATGGGCATGAGACTCCCTCATCCTACCCTAGATAAACAGTGGCAGCCAGGAAGCACCAGTAGGGGGATCCAGCCATGAGTACATGGTCATGGAAGCCTCTTTGCAACTGTGGGCTGAATTCTTTCCTCCTCCACCAAGAAACATTCAGCAGCCCAGCCTTGGGAAATCCCTTCCACCCTCAGGCAGCACCAGCAGGGACCACTGCAGGCCCCAGCAGTATGAGTAAACCAAGCAGACCAAAAAAAATCATAAAGGCTTTGAAAATTAAACTGTCATTACAATCACAGCCCACAAAAGTAGGCCAGAACGTGTATGCTAAACCTAAACAGGCTGAGTGTCTGCTAAATTAAAAGATTTAAATAAGATTCCAAGTCTTCTAACATAACAGACAAAATGCCCAGTATACAGTCTATGGTCACCTGTCATACTAAGAACCAATAAAATCACAATTTGAATGAGAAAAGACAATCATCTGATGCCAAAACTTAGAAGAATCAGAGGTCAGAATTATCTGACAAGAATTTTAAAGCAGTCATAAAAAAAGCTTAAAAAATCAATTGCAAATTCTCTTGAAACAAATGGAAAAATAGAAAATCTCAGCAAAGAATTAAAAGATAAAAAGAAGAACCAAATGGAAATTACAGAACTCAAAAATACAATAACAACTTGTAGAGTAGGCTCAATAGTAGAGTGGCAATAAAAGAGGACAGAATCAATGAACCTGAGGATAAATCAATTGAATTTACCCAATCTGAACAAAAGAAAGAAAATAGATTTTAAAATTGAACAGGATCTCAGGGACCAGTGGGACAATAACAAAAGATCCAACATTCATATCATCAGAGTCCCAAAAGAAGATGAGAAAGAGTAGGGCTTAAAGAGTATTTGAAGAAATGATGGCTGAAAACTTCCCCAAATTAATGTAAGGCACAAATCTAGAGATTCAAGAGGCTAAGCAAATGTTAAACAGGATAAACCCAAAGAACTCCACGCCAAGACACATCAAGCGAGAGGAAGCAAGTGAGGAGGGAAAGGAGCATGCCCAGCCCCACCTGCTGTTGCACCCGCCTGAGTAGCAGCAGCAGCCCGGGCCCCACAGCCCCCCGCTGTCCACCTGCCTGCCAGACAAGCCCAAGAGCCTGCGTCCACAGCCATGTCCTCGTCCACCAGCAGCAGTCCCCGGCCCAGCTAGAGCCGTGCCATCCCCATCCACACTATGCCCATCAGTGCTGCAAGAGCCTCAGTTTGGGGTCTTTAAAACCATTAGGGGTAAACAATAAATAAAAGAAGAGCTCTTTCCCTTTAAAAAAAGAACAAAGAACCTTATGGGACCACAGACATACACGCGGTCAGATGTTGCCCGAATGGACATTACGCAGCGCATGGCTGTAATTCCAATGACAGCAAATTTCTCATGTGAAACCATGGAAGCCAGAAGGAAGTGGCCCTTATTTTAAGTGCTGAAATGAAAGAACTCACAACCACAAGTTCTATATCTGGTGAAAATATTCTTAAGGAATAAAGAAGGTATATAGACATTCTCAAATGAAGGCAAACTAATTTGTCACTAGCAGAGGTATCCTTAAATATTGACTAAAGGAAGTTCTTCAAACAAAAAGGAAATATAAAAGAAAGAATTTTGGTGCATCGAGAAAGAAGAAAGAATACTCAAAAATGCAGAAATATGGATATATACAATAGACTAACCTTTTTCTCATGAGTTTTTTCAAAAAACTCATCAAATCTTATTTGATGATTGCAACAAAAATTATAACACCATCTGATACTCATGACAATGATATTTAGAAGTGAGGGAAATAAAGGGATGGTGCAAGAAAGAGTAAACAGAGCGGGCCAGAGACTGCTATCCCCAGAAAGGCCTGCTTCCAAAGTTGGCCCTTGGCTGGCATCTGGGAACCTGGATTTCAGGAGGGTTCCCACCATTTCCTAACTGATAAAAGTGGCTCACAATGTGGTTTATGCTGAACACTTGCTTTCCTCCTAGGAGTCTGGATTCTTGGTATGTACTAGGCAGAGATCCTGGGTGACCAGCCTATAATAAAAACCTTGGGCACTCAGTCTCTAGTGAGCTTCCCTGGTAGACAATATTTCACTGTTTTCACAGTTCAACGCTGGAAGAGTTAAGCTCATCCTGTATGACTCTACTGGGAGAGGACTCTTGAAAGCTGGACTCCTCCCTATGGCCTTTGCTGATTTTGCTTTGTATCCTTTCACTGTAATAAATTATAGTCATATGACTGACTATATGTTTAGTCCTGTGAACTAATGTTTAGCCTTGAACATTTGGTTAATGTAGCCTAGTGGTCTGATGAGATGGACAGTATATTAGCAACCGACTGGATTCATTTTGTTTTGTCACGTTTGAATGAACTATAGAAAGCAAATGTCATTCAAAGGGAACAGAGGTGAGGAAGGAAGGAGACAGCAAGCTTGATACTCAGGGATGAGTTTTCAAATTTAAGTCAGTTTTTTTTTTTAACATTCTTAGATACATTACATTCTTCTTAATTGAAAATTTTATGGGATAATTGTAGATTCACATGCAGTTGTAAGAATCACCAAACCAGAGGGTGATCTTAGGGAACCCTCAAATTCAGAGATTTATATGGAAGTAAAGTTTCCCGAGTTCACTCAAAGTGGTAAAATGTTGATACCAGTAGACTATAATAAGTGACATATGTATACAGTAATACCCATAGCCACTAACATGAAAACTATACAAAGAAATACACTCAAAAACACTGTACATAAATCAAGATGGAATCCTTAAAAATGGTCAAAGAAGGCAAGAACAGAACAACAGAGGAACAAGAACCAGAGGAAGCAAACAGAAAACAAAATAGCAAACTTAAGCAATGACACATCAATGACCTAAATGCATCAATCAAAGATGGAGATTTCAGAATGGCTTAAAAAAAAAAAGGGCACAACCATACGCTATTTACTCATTCCAAATTCAACAACATAGGTAGGCTGAAAGTAAAAGAATATAAACAGATATACCAAGAAAACATTAACTTAAAAAAAAAACAAAACAGAAATGGCTATATTATTGTCTGATTAAGTCAAGTTCAGGGCAAGGAAAATTACTAGAGACAAAAATGGGCATTACATAATATTAAAAGGATCAATCCATCAGGAAGACTTAACGATTCTAAATCTGTATGTAACAAGCTATAGACCCTCAAAATACATGAAACAAAAAATGACAAGAGTTGAAAAGAGAAAGAGACAAATCCACAGTTCCAGTTGAGGACTTTTACCACCCCTTCTCAGCAACTGACAGAACTATGAGACGGAATTTCTTACAACTGCATATGTACCTACAATTATCTAATAAAATTTTCAATTAAAAAGAATGTAATGCATCTAAGAATGTTAAAACAAAAATTGACTTAAATTTGAAAACTCAACCCTAAGTATCAAGCTGGCTGTCTCCTTCTCTCTTCACCTCTGTTCCTTACGGATGACATTTACTTTCTACAGTCCATGCAAATCTGACAAAACAAAATGAATCCAGTCAGTTGCTAATATACCATCCATCTCATCAGACCAGTAGGCTACATTAAGCAAATGTTCAAGGCTTGAGGGGCAGAAGGGAAATTTCCCAAAGGGACTTTCACGTACACAGAAAAAGTACAATGACATCTTCCAAAGTAGGACAGACGTACTCCTGGCATCACAATTTGGGACATTTCTAATTTTAAATGATTTTTAAAATCATTTAACTGACATTTTAAAAGATTTTTAACAATCTAAGCATATTAACAGTTTAGGCATTTTATTTATAATGCAGTTGAAGACATTATATAGTTATTCCAAAAGTACAACTGAAAAAAATGCCAAAAAGCTTTCACTGTTACAATTCATAATTGTAAAGTATCAGTAATAAGATCTGCAGCCATAATTAAATTATGTCACTAACTCACTCTGCAGAGGTCTAAATTAAGTGCCTATTTATTATCCCCATAATTCATGGTTGACACTCTAAGCACTAATATGGCAGCTTATTTTTTTAGAGATTACATACACTAAATAAGATGCAACACAAGAGAAGAGTTATATTGATAAACAATACGTAAATGAGCAAGTGATTTAACAAAAATTAAATACTGGAGCAAGCGTGAGGTGATGCCTTTCCAAAAATAACCGTATTTTTTAGATTTAACCCAATTATATGTTTTTCACTAAGATTCTCTGTGGCAACTCCAAAAGTCACAGCAAATTAAAATGAGAAACTTTTTTTTGTTTAAGGTTTCTGAGTGAATTTGGGTATTAATCTCACTTCCTGATAAACAGATTTTTAATCTCCTTTTTCAGAAAATCTAGGGCCCCTAAAACTTCCAACTTGATAGAGTCAGTAGAATAAACTAATCCCAAACCCAGAGGTAAGGAATTAACTTAGAAGGCAGCACAACACCCTACCCAAACAGAGGCTTAAACAAAACTTTCCAATGGTGTTTTACTAAAGCTATATCAAAACAAGAGTTGAAAATAAATAAGAAGTAGCCTACTCAAAGACAGTGGTTGTAGTGGGTTGAATGGTGGACAAAAAGATATGTCAACATCCTAATCCTTGGAACCTGTGAATGTTACTTTATCTGGAAAAGGGCCTTGAGATGTGAAAATCATCCTGGATAATCAGGGAGGCCCTAAATCCAATGACAATTGTCCTTATAAAAGAAAGGCAGGAGGAAGTTTGAATCAGGCAGAAGGGGAAAAGATACAGAGATGAGAAGGAGGTAATATGACCACAAAGGCAACGACTGGAGTTATGCAGTCACAAATCAAAGAAAATCAACAGCCACCAGAAGCCAGAAGAGGCAAAGAATGGAATCTCCCCTAGAGCCTCCAGAGGGAGTACAGTGCTGCCGACACCTTGATTTCGAACTTCTGGACTCCAGAACCATGACAGAATTAATTTTGGTTTTTTAGGCCACCAAATTTGTGGTAATCTGTTATGGCAGCCACAAGAAACTACATACACCAGTTCTTAAATATAAACTGTCCACCTCTCCTAGCTTCTCATTCCTTACTTGACATTCTCTCAGCCCCCGGAGCTTCAAACCCCTAAAACCATGTGTGCCTTCCCCACCCTCCTCCCCACATCAGATCAGTAGCCAAGTTCTGGTGATTCCCTTCCATCTGTGTTTTCCTCCCCAGGTCATATCATTACTCCACACTGAATTACGGATACAGTGTCCTGAGTGACCTTGCTTCTCGGCCCATCCTTTCTTCCAAAATTAGATTAATATTTCTTAAACACCCATTTCTTCAAGTAGTTCTCCTGCTCCACTACCCTCTATACTGATGGCTTTCCTTTCTGCCTCCAGCCCCCATGCTGGCTACTTCCTGCTTAGTAGCATCACTTTCTGAGTCAAAAGACTGCTATGTGTACATGTGTGAGCACTTAATTAATGAGGAAATGAGGAGCTTGAGAGCAATACGATCAACACAGCCAGACGGTGGGAGTGGGGGTAGCAGTGCAAAGTTAGAGTATGAAGTCGAGAATGAAAAGCCTGGGAAGGCTACGAAATGCCATCTCCACAAGATTAAAAAGGCAGGCAGAGACCTAAAAAACACAATGCAGGAAGAACAGATTTTAACTTATGAGTCGTTTTACAAGGCTGTCATCTGACATTGCATGTGGCATTGTCAGACAGTAATAAAGTCTGACAAATAATTGAATTCTCCAAGATACATGGAGTTTTTTACCTCTATGCACAAAAGCTCCATATTACAATCTTTTTGAATGAAGTTTTTCATGTATCACATGCTCCCCTGCCTTCTTACACAGAGAACATAGAAGATAACTTCCTTGCTGATACAGCACTAACATTTTGAACATCAATTATTTCACAGTGCAAAGATGAAGCCTTCAGAGCATTTTTAAGTATGTATGGCTGTTTACCCCTTTTCTAAATTGTCTCAATTGCTAAAAGCATTGAATTCTGATCATCTGTTTATGAAGGTTTTCTACTCCTCACCTACTACTTGCCTCCATAAGTTGACCTGCTTCCAATTAAAAAAAAAAAAAAAAAAGATGTCACCTTGAAGACTAAGGTGGACCTGACCCAAACCATGGTGTTTTCAATTGCCTCACATGCAAGTGAAAGCTGGGCAATGAATAAGGAAGACCAAAGAAGAATTGATGCCTTTGAATTATGGTGCTGGCAAAGAATATTGAATATACCATGGCTTGGCAAAAGAACAAACAAATCTGTCTTGGAAGAAGTACAGCCAGAATGCTCCTTAGAAGCAAGGATGGCACGACTTTGTCTCACATACCTTGGACATGTTACCAGGAAGGATCAGTCTCTAGAGAAGGACATCATGTTTGGTAAAGCAGAAGGTCAGCGAAAAAGAGGAAGACCTTCAATGAGATGGACTGACACAGTGGCCACAACAATGGGCTCAAGCATAACAACGATTGTGAGGATGGCGCAGGACCAGGCAGTGTTTCTTTCTCTTGGGCACAGGGTCGCTATGAGTTGGAACCACTCGACAGCACCTAGCCACAACAACTTCCAATAATCTAAACACCCTCCTAATGGGTGGTTTCTGATCTTTTAAGGACTGAAAAACCAGACATGTAAGTTTCTCAGAATAATTTCTAAGCTAGAATAAAGACTCTTTCTAAGTGAGGGCCTGGAGCCCTTTCTCTGGAGTAAAGTACATGGATTGTGTTAAATCAATTTCAGTTGAGAGTTCATTTCTTGATTCTTAGCTACGTTCCAGATGGCCAAGGTAACCTCCTGATAAATGAGGTGCTTTTGGCTACTTAGTAGCTGCATTATTATTTATAGTAACTATGGAAAGCAACATACTGTGTGAGCGTCTACCCAAACAGCAGACAAGTTACACAACGCCTTCTCTCCATCTCCCCCTTACCCATCATGACATGCTGGGGACCTCTTGGGCTTCAGAAATGTATTTGACAAAAAAAGTTTTTTTTAAGTTTTTTAATGTTCCATCACTAAACCAATTATTGGTAATTAGAAGGGTTGTTAAATAGTGAAAGATTCAAAGCAGTCTAACAGTAATTTTTATATATTAAATTCTTACATTACATGTACATCTGTAACTTTTGAACATATGTATATATACACATATTTATTAATCATTCCTTGCCTACTTTCACAAAATATACTATATGCAATCTTAAATTAGAAGTAAGTCTTCATATTTACCTTCCTAAGTATTAAATAGCATGCTGTAGTTTCATAATTAAAAATTGATTTGTATATAAAAAACTCTACTTACCACTAAAACTTTCAGAATTAAATGATTCTGGTAGGCAGATTCCAATCTGTGATTCTCTAAAATATTAAGAAGGAGAGGTAATTTCTCTCAGATGAGAAAGCAACATGGGAACATGGTCATCAGGTAAAGTGACACTGTGCTGAGAGCTTCAGTCAGTAAGTGTGTTACCATCAAGAACATCAAACAAAAAACAGAGAAAGTAAGTCCAGGGCACATTTTTTCAAATATTAATGCTGCAGAAGAAATTTGGGGAGTGTTGGCAAATGATCCCATACACAAACCAAACCAAACCTGTTGCCGTCCAGTCAATTCCAACTCATAGCGACCCTACAGGACAGAGTAGAACTGCCCCATATGGTTTCCAAGGAGCAGCTGGTGGATTCGAACTGTCAGTCTTTTGGTTACTAGCCAAGCTCTTCACCACAGTGCCACTGGGGCTCCAGCCCATACACAGCCATCCAAAAAAAGACCCTGTATAAGTGGTAATGTTACAAACTGACTAGCAAAACTCTAATGAGTAGGGGAATAAATAGTTTTCTATACATGTGGCTTACCAGGATTAACTTAAACGGAAACTCAAACTTCCATCCTAATCTAGGAAAAGGAGACACTGTACAGATCTCAAGACAACAAGGCAAAGAACAAGAAAGAAGATTTTAAAGAGAAGTGTGATTTTGTATAGAGGGGCAGTGAATTCGAACCCCTACTTGGCCACTGTCTGACCTTGGGCAAGTTACTTAACTTCCTGATATTTAGCCTCCTCACCTGAAAAACAGAGCTGACAGCACTCTCCTCCCAGGGTCATTGTAAGGATTAGAAATAATGTAAAACCTTAGCCCAATATCAGCAGAAGGAAAGCACTCAATAAATGGTAGCTGTCGTTGTCACATGACTAATAAAAATAATTTAAAACATCTTTATGGTCCATGAAGTTAAGGCCTAGACTTCTTTCTAGGGAATAATATGGCATATTTGTTTGTCTGTTTGAATGAATACATAAAAAGTGAATGGCCTATCAAAACCATTTTTAATCTGTAGCCAAGTTCCTTTTTCACCATAGATACATGTCACCTTCACTGAGCACAATGGCAGTCCTCAGTGCCCCCACACCAGCTATACAGTCAGTTATGAAATACTAGCTACAGTTCATTCGGTCAGAGTATCATGAAGAAAATTTCAATCTATTTTACTCTCAGCATGAAACACAATATTATAGTATTAGGAGCACAGGTTTTGGATACAGATAGGTTTGGATTAGCCTGGCTCTATCATTTGCTGATTAGATGAGCAATAACATGAGAGGAAAAATTCTGGACCTTGGTAAGCCTCAGTATATTCATCTGTAAAATGGTGAAATAAGTTCTATTCCATGGTGTCCTGAGGAGACGAAAATGAGATAGTGTAGATGAAGTGCTTAGCAGTGCACTCAGAATATAGTAACTAGCACTCAATACGTAAGAACTGTGATAACCATGATATGGAGACCTTTAGAGCTCACAGAGCCAATGAACTTATGTCTCTATAATGGCCCAGAGCAACACTATCTTCTTTGCAAGGTAACAAGTATATGAATCCTATGATCTAAGGTATATTTCTCTCAGGCAGATAAGACATGAATACAAAGCTTTAAGTCTTACCCCATGAAGTTAAAAACTCAGCAGCATATCGATAGAGGCGGTTCATGATCTCAATCACGATGGCATAGATGATGCTGGGCACATACAACAAGACACTGGTCCACTCAGACTCGCTGTTCTCATGCAGCCCCAAGGCCCAGTCCTCCATGTCAAAGTAAATCATCATGACATACAGAGAGAAATAGAGACAGAGGCACACAAAGGGCAGAGAGACCAGGTAAATGCGCATCTGCCTCTTGTAGCTGGGGTAGAGAGGCTCCTCCCTGCCGGTGACAGGATTGATACCCAGAACCCCATGAAATCCTGGCCGGGGCTCCTCAAAATGCCTCTTCATGACCAGCGTCCCCCACCTGTAGGTCATGGTGGCACAGCCACGCTTCCACACCTCCAGGATCACTGTGGACCAGATCAGGTTGAATGAGGCGAAGATCACGTACTTGTCATAGTCTTCCCACACGAACACATAGTAAGGCAACCCAATGACAGCCATGGGGATTAAGGCGAAAGTGAAATATTCCAAAAATCCAAAGTAAAGAGCAATTGTCTCCCCAAAGTAGCCACGAATATTGTCTATAGTGAAACGAAAAAAGATCTTAAGTACAGACATACAAACTACCAAAAAAAAATTTTTTTTTAATCATTCCAAGTAAGTTTATTCAATTTTTTAGTCAAATGGGATCATTTAATAGCCTCATTTCCCAGCTAGTGAGTAGTGTTAAGTCCATCCATGCTGTACATCCCACTTGTCTGTACAGCAAGCCAAACATTTCCCTCAACTCAGAGGCCAGCCCACAGCTGCTGGGCTGCTCTGCCAGGCACCCTGGGTCTGCTTCCCCTTTACTTCCTTACTTGGTGGATGCCTTCTTCCCAAAGAAACACACTGGGGCTTACCTGAAAGGTCCTAGTTTAAGCTTAGTCATGGCCTTTGAACCATTTTAATTTGAGGGTTCTATTTATGCTCCCACTTTAACATTATGGTTACAAATGTTCTTTTATAAAGAAGACTCCTTTGCATCTCTAGTATCCTGCTTCCTCTACCCACAGATAGAAATTTTCATCAATGAGTCATGGCCAAATTTTCAATGCTCTGAAGAATACAAATTATTCAAAAGCACATACTAAGATTCTACATATTAACTTCTAGAACAGCTGTGGAATACATCTACAGCTGCACGTAAACAGTGGGCAGAAGAAGACCCAAGCAACATCACTGTTAATGTTTTCTGAACGCGACACAAGCTAACTAATCCAAAAGTGGTCACTAACACTGCATGCTCTGCCAGCCACATCCACATGGGTGAGTACCTGGATGGAGACAGCATCCTGCCCCAGAACCAGGATGGGATGCAAGGAGGAGGTCAGTTACATGCCATTAAAACATTACTTTTTTAAAGATGATGTGATCAGGTCGGTCTATGGAAGTGGGTTACAACAAACAGATTTAAACTATTTTCTCCTATCCTAGTTTTTCTAGCTAACCCCAAACGAAACTGTTGCCAGTGAGCTGATTCCGACTCATAGTGACCCTATAGGGCAGAGTAGAACTGCCCCACGGGGTTTCCAAAGAGCAGCTGGTGTGGATTCGAGTCGCCCAGCTCTTAACTACTGCGCCACCAGGGCTCAAAAATGAGTATGATGAAGCCACCTCGAATCTGAATCAGGTTAAAGAATATGCAAGCAAAAAAAAGAAGAAGAAGAAGATGGTTCTTATGGTGATGGGTTCCAAATCGGATGATCTGAGGGGTAGGTCAAGATTTGCCTGTGCCCAGCTACTATCACCAGTCCCAGCACTCCCCAACTCCCCACACACCTCAAACCCACTACCATAACCATGCCCAGGCATCACTATCAACTCACTTTCTCCCTTACTAAGTAGTAGCTTGTCACCTTAAAAGCCCTACAAGCAATATTCAAATTTATTGCCACTGAAATGCCAAAATAAAGTGGAAGAATATCATAAATCTAGCACAAAATGGCTATTATAATACTGAAACTATCAGAAAATAAAACTTTTCCCTTCAGAGAATATAAGAAAAAAAATCAAAATGCAGTTTCAAAATTTGATCCTAAGAATAATCTTTGTTCACTGTTACATCATTAAAATAACTGTTTTCAGAAATGGAAATTAGAAAGAATATTTTGGAAGTATTCCTTTTAACAAAATCAAAAGAGAAATATCCTTTAAAAAAAAACTGAGAGTATTGCTTATGGTGAAATCTACCAGCTTAAATGTACTTCTTATGCTTAAAAAATATGACTGAATCAGCAATTTTGAGTATTTCTCAAACTCTATATTGACAAATTTACATAAACTAATGCTAAATAAAATAATAACTATTCTTATAACTGTATTCAGAGAAAATGGATAGGTCTAGTAACACACACCAAGATGTTTATAAACTATCTCAAAAGATGTTTAGGTCTGTTAGTACCTCTCTAAGTATGAGCACAGCTTGGCTCTACGGAAACAGAAATTTTCAAATGCAAAATATTCAAAGTCAAACTAAATTCTTATAAAATTTGTTCTACTCCAACCCTGACACATACTCGTGAAGGCCATTCTAAATTTCCTGTGTTGCTGGTAAATTTAATGAAAGCCTGTGATAACAGACCATCTAAAATGATACGAGAAATAAAAAAGAACAAATACGCAATTTAACCCATCTTATTCCCCCCAAAGAAATGTTTTCCTCATGCAGCCGGTGAACTCTGCCCAGTTGAGCGTTAAATATCTGCCGAAGGAAATGACTCCACTGCTGAATCATGACTTTCCATTAGCAGCTCTTCCTGACTCCCCTCTAAGAGAACAGGCATTGACACATACCTATGGGCTGATACTTCAAGGTAAGCCGAGTATACCAGGTGTCCTCAAGCTTCTTCAGGGCTTCATTATCATGCAGTGGAAACACTTGAATCACAACGCCAGAGGTGATCAATCTTCTCACTGCAGAGAGAAAATGCACCCAAGTACATAAAACAGATTTGAGACTGCTCAGGATGTGTCATCAAATAGTACAAAAACACTCCGTTAAGAGACTGAGTACTACACAAAAGTCCTACTCGAAAAGCGTATATTCCTTTTTTCTTCAGAATATAAATATCTTTTTATTATTTTCTCTGTCTATAAAAGCAATACAAGTCAGTGTAAAATTTAAACCATACAGAAGTGTACAAATTAGAATGTGAAGGGTCCCTGTTATTCTCCCCTTCCTTGGAAAATAACCATTGTTAACAGCAACTTATTATATATCCGGACTTCAAAAAAATACATCCAGAAATGTGTGCTTAAAAAGAAAAATGCAGTCAATCTATACACAATGTTCTATAACCTTTTCTCATGTAAAAGTATATATGGATATTTTCCATGTCACTATTAATAGAACAGGTCCTTTTTAACAGGGTCATAATATTCCCTTGTATGAAATGCTATAATTTAATTAATCCTCTATTAAAGAATATTCACCTCCTTTTTTGCTATGATAAATGTTGCTAAAATTTCTGCACGTATATCTTTTCCCACCTGTCTGTAGGGTGAGTGGAAGAGACAGATGACTTTAACCAGACAGTATCGCCTGGCAATGTTAAATGAAAAAGGGGAATTCTCTCATCCATAATTACTTACAGTGACTCATGGAGGGGGGATCTTCAGGTCTTCAGAAGGAAGTGCATTCAGTGATGCGGAAAACTCAAATGCAATGCCTGTGCCTTTGGGGAGATGAAGCACATTCCTCACGAGTTCCCAGTATAGTCTTACTAAAGAAAACGGGTGCTTCTAAGGTGCATCCCTATTTCCTATCTACTTTGTCACCAAAGACGGGTGATGAGAATATCAGGCACCAGGCCTCTCCAGGGTAATTTAAAAGTAATTTAAAAGTAAGCCTAATTTCTTAGAAATGAAAAAAAAAAAGATAATGAAGAAGACATACCTGACAATAACAACAGGAGAAAATCGGGGTCTGAAAAAAGGATTTGTTCTGCTCAGAATTGTATCTCATGGGTAAGTTACACAAAGGAAAAAAGCTCAAAAGCTAGACTTGTTCAAAAAAAAAAAAAAAAAATCCTCCTTAATGGCTGAAGAAAGGCAGAGACGCAAAATACCAGTAACTAGGATAAAAAGGCATTTGGTCTAAGTTACATCAGCCTCTGGTGCTGTCAAATCCTTTTTTTTTTTTTTTTTTTCATATTTTTATTCTAAAGTGTTTCAGAGGTTTTTCCTTCAGCTAACATGAGTGAAAACTGATCACCCACAAGTGTTCTGATTCTTACCCTTTATTGGGGAATACACAGGCTGTAGCTGGTTTAAATGACTATATCAAATTTTTTAACTTTGAAGTGACTTAGGGCATCTAACTTATTATTTTACTATTTCAAAGCTGTTTCTCTTTCTTTTTTTTTTTTTTAAATGACTCTATTCGACTATAGAAGACTTTCCAGGCAGGCATAAAATTCAGCTTGTATACTTCTAAAAATAGGATTCTGAACTGAGGGACTCAGAATATAAAGCTGCAGGTCCTAAATTACTGGGCTTCTCTTCACCACCAACGCCAAAAGCATGGTTTCAGCCTCAAAAATAGTTGTTGTGTGTGTGTGTGTGTGTGTGTGTGTGTGTGT